GTTTAGTTACAACGCCTACTGTAAGAATACCTAACTCTTTAGCAATTTTTGCTACAACCGGAGACGCACCTGTACCAGTACCTCCCCCCATTCCTGCTGTAATAAAGACCATATTGCTACCTTCTAAATGCCCTCTAATCTCATCGGCTGATTCTTCTGCAGCTAACGCCCCAATTTCTGGAGATGAACCTGCTCCTAAACCTTTAGTGATAGTAATACCTAGTTGGATTTTATTGTCACATAAGGAATGTTCTAACGACTGAGCATCAGTATTTGCCACCACAAATTTTGCACCCTGCAATTTTGCATTTAGCATATTATTAACAGCATTCCCCCCTGCCCCTCCAACGCCAAATACTGTAATAATCGGTTTAAGAACTATATTGTCTGGAGCTTTAAAATGTAAGGCCATAATGATACTTCACTCATTAAATTTTTAATTATTTAGCATAACCTGAAAAGCGGGTTAATTTTTCGTTAAATTTTAGGTAAGGATAAGTATTCTTTATATCAAATTGGTTTATTAAAGGAAGGAAAAATGCATATCTCAAACCACTTTCGCTAGACATTGTAACTTATTTTACTAACCAATTTTGGATAAGAAGAGTTATTCTTATCTAGAATTGAGGTACATTATACATAGCTTTATTAACACAGCGCAAGAAGTCTCTATATCATTTTCTCTGCTATTACTATTTTATCAAATTCTTCACTTGTAAGAAGCTGTAATTTTACCGCCGCTTCTTTTAAGGTAATGCCCTCGTGGTAAGCCTTCTTGGCAATTTTTGCCGCTTTATCATAGCCAATATATGGATTTAATGCAGTTACTAACATTAATGATTGCTTGACTAATCGAGTTATATTTTCTACGTTTGGTTCAAGACCCACAATACAATGAACTACAAAGCTATTAATAGCAGTAGCAATTAAATCAATTGACTGTAAAATATTATGTATAATCACCGGTTTAAAGACATTTAATTCAAGGTGACCATTTGATCCCGCAATAGTAACGGCAACGTTATT